AACTTAGAAGTGAGGCAAGACTCTGGTGCTGTTAGTTCTGAGATGCTTCATCATCCCTTGATCACTCCCTAACTCTGTCCACAGTCTGTAAATAGTCCCTTAATTAAACTTCTCAATTTCCCTGCTCGAGTGAGCCATCTGTTTCCTGCCAAGACCCTGACTGATATACAACGGAAACAAACTTTGAGTATTTTAAGCAAAAATGGAATTTGGGGAAGGCATACTTGCAGTCATAGAAAGAGGAGGAGGTGGGAGGACCAAGGCTGGAGAACAAACAGAAACCAGAAGATAGCTGAAAAGCTGAGGAACAGGACTGACAGCTAAAGTCATTCAGTGGGAAGAGCCTGGGCCACCCACAGCCACAGCTCGAATGCCCATGATGTGCCCTGTGTCTTTCAGTCACCTATTCAGGCGACAGATTCAAGTGCATTATATGCCCACTCCCAGGCTGAGCTGGGGAGTGGAGAGAATCAGATGCCTTTGGCTAACGTGGTAGGAAGTGAGAACCACCATTCACCAAGACCACACCCAATGGATGATTCCTCTAAAATGAAAGTTCAGGATCTGATATGAAATGCCCTCTTTCTCCCAAGGACAACTGTCACTGTAACAACTAGTAAAAGGATGTGAAACTGCCTTGATAAAAAGGACTTTTCTCAAAAATTAAAGGTTCATGGGACCAGCAGTTAGCAAAATGGCTATGTCGCTGGACTCCCACCTAGTCGACCGTGGTTTGAGTCCCGGACCTGGTGGCTTAAACTCATGCCGGGCGTGTGTGTGCGCGTGCCCAAAATCCCGAGAGGAGAATGGAGGAGGAGGGATTGCAGCGTGGCCATCGCCCTGAGGGGTGATTTCTCGCTTTCTGTCTCTGTCTGTCTGGCGAGCGTACACGCTCTATAGCAAAAAAAACCTCTTCAAAAAAAAAATATTAAAGGTTCATAAAGGTTCATGTAGAGATAGGCACTTCTCACTGAGAATTTTAGTTAACAGAGGAGTATCATTCTAAAAATAAACAAAAAAATCTTTAAAATGGTTGCTTTTATTTTTAATTTGCTATAAAGTATATCACCAGAAAGAGAAAGAGAGAGAGAGAGAGAGAAATCATCCCCTGGGGAATGGCCACGCTACAATCCCTTCTCCTCCAGTCTCGTTCTCAGGATTTCGGGCATACATGCCCAGTGTGAATTTTAAACCACTGGGTCCAGGACTCGAACCATGGTCAGCCATGTGGGATCCAACTACCTTAATCTCCACGCCACCTGTTGGCCCCTTTGAAAGGATCTTTAACTGGGTTATACATAAAGCTGATGGTTTCATCTAAACCAGGTATCCTGTGGCCACTGACTCAGAAATGCCCACTACGTGGGTTTTTGTCCAATAATGAGTTTTGTAAGAATAAGAGGATTCCAAAAATCAGCTATTTAAGTATTATTTCACTGTATCAATTTAGAGTTAGAAATCAGCTCTGCCAATTTTTATAACTTTTACTCTCTTAAAGGTTATTCTCCTTTATCTTACTCAGATTTAGATTTCTACAGGTTTGAGAGATAAGAATAAAGAATACAGTTTTGTTATGAACTAATGACAGATAGCTTACTGAAGTTTACAGATAGTGCTATTTTAATACATTTATTGACTGCTATATTTACAATTTATATAATTATTAAGTCTAGCATAAAATTTAGGCTGTTTACTTTTATAGCTCTTTGATATCATTCTTTATCTCAACTCCAAAATTAACTTACTTCACACAAAGTGCAGATGAGTTATAAATTTCGACATATATTATACTTTGCTTGCCAGGAATGAAGGCAATACATATTCAAAATTGTCCCCTGAAGGTTTCTTGATATAGTTACTGCTATAACAGTCTCAATAAGAGGAAGTTATTTTTCTTTGAAATAAAATTACATGGATCTAATGTCTATAATTTTTAATTGAGAATTTATATTCTGTTAAATTGGATTGGTTGTACACAAAGATATTTTTATTTCCAAAACATAAATTTATTCAGCAAGCATTGAATAAACAGAACACTGTCGAAATCAACTAGAAAGTTTCCAGAGCTGCCAGTGAGATGGTTTTCCTCAGCATAACAGTGTGCTGGAAGACTGACATGGTTTTTATGATATCATCAGACATTTAAGAGTTTTCTTTAGATAAGGGTGTAATGTATCATATGCTCACTGGAATATGCTTGTCTCAATGACATAAGGAAAAGAGCAGGACAAAGTAGAAAAGGTGCATGGAGAAGGCTTACAGATTTCACATATTTAAGTGTCTATGATTAAATTCTCAGTGAGGTACTCCAACTTCTCCCTAGCAACATGTCATGTTACAAGAAACGTATGCATGCTACTTCCCTAATAGGTACAACTCCACATAAAATAACTTAGAGTACTTACTAGGTGCCTGATAGGGACAAGGAAGAAAGTACAAGACCTAGCCCTTCTATTCAAGGAGCCAGTGATAACTATACATCTTCGTTATCGAAGTTGAAAAGCTAGTAAGTTTCTCTAACACAGTTTTGGTCTATTCAAAACATTAATTGGACTTTTGTCATTGAATTGGTCTGTGAGTTGTTTTGATAACCAGTATCTGGAGACCAGCAGGTGCTGTGG